TTGTACTGATACAAACGACTCAACTTTGCATAGCCTCTTACAGAAGAGAACAGAAAGATTTCGAAGATGGAATATTGAAAGACAAGAGGTAGAGGCAAGATGAACACCTCAATCGGGCACCTCAACGCCTCCGCGGACACTGGTCCTGACACGATGCACAACAGTAGGCGAAAAGGACCAGCAGCCCGCGGAGAAGCTGATTAGTTGAGGTACTCGTTCCCCTACCCAAAGACAAGCCTAGATGTTCGTTCTGAGTAGTCTCATAGTCTCACTCTTGGAAAGCACTGGATGTAAATTACACCGCTACCATAAAATACATGTAGAATCATTGCGCTCAAATTGCACAACCGGAATGGAGGTATGTTGAAAGCGCAGGGTATAGCTAGCGCAATTTTTGGAAATTCAAATTTAGCCACAGCAGTTTCCTGGTTCTTGTTCTGGCCGCAGACTTTCTTGAGCACATAGGGGCTGGAGCAAACATCAGCCAAGCACTTGGAAGTTGCCTTACATTCACAGGTCTATTCTGAAAATACCAGCCATACTCTAGCGTAGAAATAATATGGCACGGCTTACTGTACATAAATTGAGAACGTAATGCAAATAAGTTGGGTTTATACTGATCCTAATTCCACGAACAGTTTAGCAATTCGAGCGCTGTGGAACTGTTCCGGAACAAACGGATCAGTATGAACCCAACCTAAGTTACAAAATCGGATTCCAATTTTCAAGATAACCTCGCAGTCTAGCTAGAAAGGCCTAAGCAAAATTTTCTGGAAAGTGCGGTATGGTACATCGAGGCCCACTCCTTCGTACTTCTCATCGTCACTTCAGAAATGCATGACTTAGGCCTTAGCAGCCCATTTCAACAGCTCATCTTCGTGTTAATAAAACTTGAGTTCATCTTTCATTTTCTTTTCTAGGTTGATTTCTCGGTTAAAAACACCATTGTATAAAGACTACTGCTTTTGCTCCTTGATTTCAGTAAACATTTCACAGGTGTATTCCGATATTGTAAGATAGAAGGCATCTCTGAGCTCTACAAGGCTTGTAAAGCTCAAAGAGGTGGTTACATGCTGAAAAGGATATCAAACCGATTTTACGTATCAGGTTTCTTTCGTGATTTTATGGTATATGTATGCTAAAAGTTAAAAATTTTCAGATCTGTTGAAATTTCGATAGTGGAATTGAAAAGTGCTGTTCGGCGCCATTCCTTCATTTTGCTGATATTATTACTGTCCAGGTCGCGCGCACCTCCTACGCTTGACGCTGCTCAATCAGCGTGGTAATCTTTTACATTAATGTTCTGAAGTTATCCAACCTTTAGTAATTATACATTCTTTCTCAAATTGGCTCCTGGACCCGTTAATGCGTGCAATAACTCAGTGATCAAAGGTAGAGAAGAGATGGAAAGAAGTTATGAACGCTTCGAATTTTTGTTATTTGGAATGGTTATTCGAATTGCAAAGCGGTTTCGAGCTCAAGTGAATTTGGGTGAACGTATTATGGTAACTAATACTTCCACGCTCTTCAATTAGCTAATGCTTTCGGGTTCTTCGTTTTCAGATATGGATATACGATCTGGACTTAGACAACGTCGAACAGTGTTTTCACGCTGAGACCTTTCACTTTATAGACAACTATTTCTCATTCTTCTGGCACATATTGACATCCAAGGCGAACTACGGTAAGGGTTTCCGCTATAGGAAAATGATTCAAGACACTGCTCACTCTAATTACGCTGCTTCGTTTAGGATAGAGGGCTGTATGTCGCTGATAGCTTTCACCCCACGCGCTGCTACAAGTCCATGCCTGTATTATGTATAGCTGTGTGGTCTGTTTCTGATGTTAGCGTGGGAACTCCTTTCCTTTCGGTGTGACG